ATTAAAGGGGCTTTAGGAGGATTTGCAGAGGCTTAGTGATTAGCAAGAACTTGGCAGACGCAATATTATGTGGAAAAATGAGAGGTTATTTGCTTTTGTAGGAGGTCCAGATGTGCTCTGCATCGCTTAAATTGGAAAGGGTTGGAAACTAAAAATTTAGAAAGGGACCTAGGTGTCCTTGTCAATACGTCACTGTAGGTGGAGTAAGCTATTAGAAAGACTAATGGAATGTTAACTTTTAGGGAAGAGGATTTGACGACAGGAATAGTAAGATGCTGCTTTAATTGTATAAGAGCTTAGTTAGACCACACATGGACTATTGTGCGTGCAGTTTTGTTGCCGCTATCTCAGGAAAGATATTGTCACCATGGAGGAGGTGGAAGAAAGGTTCACCATACTTCTTCCCACCAGAATGGCGGGACTGTCCTATGAAGAGATATTGGGCAAATTATGCCTGTACTCTCTAGAGTTTCAAGGAACGAGGGGTGATCTCAATGAAACTTAGAGATAGAGTATGCAGATAAGCTGTTTCTCCTAGTTGGGGAATCTAAAAACAGTGGGCACAATTCAAAATAAGAGGGATTCCAAGATGAAGGGAACTTTTTTTACCACGGGCTGTCAATCTTTGGGATTCTCTATCACAGAGAGCTGTGGAAGCTTAGTCTTTGAGTATGTTTAAGGTAAAGATTGATAGATTTCTGATTACCAGGGTTATGGGGATAGGTTGAGTAAAAGGCATAGAAGCGTTTGATCAGCCATGATCCTATTGAATAGTGGACTGAATGGCCTACTTATGTTCATTTTCTTTTATTCTGTACAACACTGTGAATAGATACCATGCTATACAATACCGAGGCCAAAACCTCAACTTTATAAAATTGAGGATAAACATCATACTGTACAATACCTACAACAGATACCGTACCGTCCAGTGCTGTGGACCTCACTGTATAGTGTCTAGGATAGACATCCCACAGTACAATGTTATTTTCTTTCTTGGTTACACCGTGTTTGAGCTTCCACTCATCTCCCTGTTCATTGAACAAAGAACAAACAATAAAGAATTGTACAGCACAGGAATAGGCCCTTTGGCCCATCAAGTCGCACCGACATGATGCCAGTCTAAACTAAAATCTTTTTCTCTCTATTCCCTATTCATGTATCTATCAAGATGACCTTACACATTGCTACTGTCTCTGCTTCTACCATCCCCTCTGTCAGTCCATTCCAGGAATTTATCACCCTCTGCGTAAAAAAAACTGCCTCTCACATCTCCTTTAAACTTTCCCCCTTTTTCCCTAAATCTATGTCCCCCAATAAGTGACATTTCTACCTTTGGAAAAAGACTCTAACCTATTCTACCTATTCATGCCTCTCATAATTTTGTAAACCATTATTGGATCACCCCTTAGCCTCTGACATTCAAGAGAAAACAAACCAAATTTGTCCATTCTGCCCATAAAGTTAATATCCTCTGAACAAGGTAACATCCTTGTAAACCTTTTCTGTACTCTCTCCAAAGCCTCCACATCCTTCTGATAGTGTGGCAACCAGAACTGTCTGTAATATTCCAAATGTGACCTTACTAAAGTTCTATAGAGCAACATGGCTTGCCAACTTTTATACTGTATGCCCCGAACTATGAGGTCAAGCATGCCATATGCCTTCTTGACCACCTTATCCACTTGCATTGCCACTTACAGGGAACTGTGGACCTGTACACTTAGGTCCCTCTGTTTACCGATGCTCCTAAGAGTTCTGCCATTTACTGCATACTTCGCTCCTGCTTTAGACTTTCCAAAATGCATCACCTCACATGTATCCAAACTAAATTCCATCTGCTGTTTCTCTGCCCAAGTCTCCAGCCTATATGTATCCTGCTGTTTCCTCTGGCAGTCCTCCTCAATATCCACAGTTCCCTTTGTATTCTATTCACATTGGTTGTAGTGACGTAAACATTTAGAATTTGATGAATGTATTAAGTGTGTTTGAAGTTGGCAGAATTTTCTGGGCCTCTCCACATCACTGCATCCTGTTCAGAAGCAGATGATCCTGTTCATTGACAAGCAAACACAACATATTGCTATTCTTGATCTGTTTAACTTTGCCCATTGATCCTGCCTACATGAATTTGATTACTCCTTTTACAATTAAGCAGGTTAAGCAAGCCCAGACATCAAACTTTTCTTACTTTCTTCACAACTGGTTTGAATAAATTCCTTTTTAAATATCTGTGTTGTTATAGACTGTTGTTTGTATCAAACTAATCAAAACTGTTCTGAGGAAGGGTCACCGGACCCGAAACGTTAACTCTGTTTTCTCCTCCAAAGATGCTGCCAGACCTGCTGAGCTTTTCCAGCAACTTTGTTTTTGTTCCTGATTTACAGCATCCGCAGTTCTTTTGGTTTTTAATCAAAACCTTTGTTCATTTCACGTCACCATCAGTGAGAAACTTGGAGATGCAGAATAACTTCAAAGGAAGGTGGGGAGTAAAGATGAGAAAAAGCTTCAGGTAATTAAAACTGTATTGTAAAATATGCTCTGAATTCTTGCCTGCAACTATCATTATCATAGAGGAATGATGAAGTGCAGAGTATGTAGATTCTGAGAAACGTTGTGACAGATTTTGTCAAACTGAGGCAATAATGCACCCACGGGAAAGATAGAGATTTCCTTCCACTTTCCCAAGCAGTAGTGACAGAATCATTCTAATTATATGGGGCAGATTAAACAGTAAAAAGAATTGGTCAGTTTGAGTTTGGGATTTTGTTAAACTCAGTAAATGTCAACAAATCTGCAAGATAACAGGCTGGATTAGCAGCTATTTTGAGGTTAGCTGGCTGATTACAAAGATAACTGCCTGCAGACCTTTTGAATCAAATTCCCTAAAGTGGAGAAAGAGGCCATTCAGCCCATTGAGTGTGCACTGACCCTCTGAAGAGTTCCTACCCAGATAACCCCATCCTACCCCTGTAAACCCTGCATTTACCATGGCTAATCCACCTAACCTGCACACCTTTGGACTGTAGTAAGAAACCAGATCATCCAGTGAAAACTGATGCAGACACAGGAAGAGCATACAAACTCCACACAGACAGTCACCCAAAGTTGGAATTAAACCTTGGTCCTTGGAGCTGTGAGGCAGCAGAGCTCACCACTGAGCCACCGTTCCACCTTAGCTGTCCTGGTAGTCAGATCTTCCTGGCTTTGTTGCAACAATCGGCATATTTCAAGGTCCCAGTCTACATGGTGAAGGATGCAATAAAGCTTGGGGCAGTTGCCTCCATGACACAATGGGGAAAGAACCCTTTCCAAGGTCTTTTGCCAAAAGTAAGATAGGGGTCCGTTCAGTTCTCAGACCTCCCCACAAGTCAAAAACACTTTTCCTACATGAACTTAAAACATCTTTTGCTTGCAATTGTACGGCAGCCCTGTTAGATGTCAAATTCCAATATATCGTTTGTGTGTGTTTCTTTCTTTCTGTTTGCAAAGATGGAATGGATTGAGAACCTTGTTTGTGTACTTATGGATAATTTTTTATGAATATATTTTTGCAATTAAAAAAAGTGCAATGATGCCAAGGAGAGCTGGCAAAGACTAGCTGATGTGCTCAGGTCAGTGTTCAAAGATCTTAAACTGTTCAACAAAGATCATAAGTGTGCATTGGGTGGGTAAGGGTGTGCCTGAATGAACAATGGTTTGGTGAATGAGGTTTGAAGGGAGACCAAAAAGGAGAAGGTTCATTCAGGATGGCACCAAAAACATAGAGACAGTTTTTCAGGGATGTGTAAAAATGAAGCTGAGGCCTCAAAGGACAAACCTCATTTACTGTGTCACATCCAGTCCCTCCACCACCAATGCTCAGTAGCACCAATGTTTAATGTCTACAAGATGCCCTGCAGAAATTCACCAAACATCCTTAGATAGTACCTGCCAAACCTATGACCACTTTCATCTAGAAGGACAAGAGTAGCAGATACACCACCACGTTCAAGTTCCCCTCCAAGCTCCTCACCTTCCTGACTTGGAAATATATAGCCATCCCTTCAGTCACTAGGTCAAAATCATGGAATGCCCTCCCTAATGGCATTGTAGGTCAACCCACAGAAGGTGGACTGCAGCAGTTCAAGAAGGCTACTCACCCCCACCTTCTCAAGAGCAACTAGGAACAGGCAATAAATGATGGCCAGCCAGCAATGCCCACGTCCCAGAAATAAATAAAATAAACAAAAACAGAAATTGCTGGAAAAGCTCAGCATGTCTGGCAGCGTCTGTGAAGAGAAATCAAAGTTCCCATTTCAGATCGAGTGACCCTTCTTCAGAACATTTTGGGTCACTCAACCTGAAATGTTAACTTTGATTTCTCTCCACAAATGCTGCCAGAGCTGCTGTGCTTTTCCAGCAATTTCTCTTTTTGTTTCTGATTTAAAACATCTGCACCTGTTCTTACATTTTTTTATTTGCTAAGTGATGAGTTATAAAATGTCATTAACTGTCTAAAAGTGTGGATCATAGCTATCATCTGACTGTTTTTACTGGGCTAAGAATTTGCAGTGATCTGGAACAGGTTGACCCTGTTAACTATGAGGTTCTTGATTGGCATTGTTAACCTGGGTAAAGCCTTAGCTAAACAATATAAACAAGTGATTAGAATCCCCTCAGTTGGGGACTGTCTCTGAGCTGGCTGACTACAGCCAGTGTACTGTGCACAAGTAAATAAACGGACACCAGCCTCTGTGCAGTTATTTCAGAATTAATGTAAGATAAGGACACAAAGTCAATTTCTTCCAGCTTTAGGGTTAAAAAGAATTAAGTTTAATCAGCTGTTCAGACATGTTGTGGTACACCTCATTTGCAGATGAGATTTGAACCCGGACCTAAGCTCTTCATGGAGAGGAGCTGATTAGGTAAACTGGTTCAGTCTCGTTCTCACACTGAGGTTTCAAATAGTATAAATGCAAGTGGAGTGGAAATTTCAAGCAGATTGAACTTGGTGAATGGTGAGCTGCAAAATGTCAACATATTTCTAAAGTGCGACCTACAGCTAGCATTGAACTTTTTTTTATTGGACTAAGAATCAAATGAAGGTAAGAAAATAAAGTTTCTCCTGGCATTGGACAGAGTAAACTAGCTCTTCTGGAGAGTAAATATAGAAAATGTTGGAGAAACTCAGCAGGTCTAGAAACATCTGTGGAGAGATAATATTTTGGGTCCAATATGACTTTTTGGTTCTGAAGAAGTCATACCAGGTTCAAAATATTAACTCTCCACAAATGTTGCCAGACTGCTGTGTTTGTCCAGCATTTTCTGCTTTTATATCAGATTTCCAGCACCCTCAGTAATTTTGCTTCTATTGGAGAGTAACTGATTAATTGCTTAGATTCAGTCTAGTTCTCGCTAGTAAAAGCCAAAAGAACTGCGGATGCTGTAAATTAGGAACAAAAACAAAGTTGCTGGAAAAGCTGAGCAGGTCTGGCAGCATCTGTGAAGGAGTTAACGTTTTGGGTTCTAAGAAAGGGTCACCGGATCCAAAATGTTAACTCTGTTTTCTTCTTCACAGATGCTGCCAGACCTGCTGAGCTTTTCCAGCAACTTTGTTTTAGTTCTCTCTGGTGCCAGGTCTACAACGAGAAGCAAATAGGACAACAGTACAAAGAAACATTAGGATGATTAAAAATGGCAAAAAGGCAAACTAAAGGCTTTGTATCTAAATACATGAAGCATTCAGAATTAGTAGAGGAACTGATAGTGCAAATCGAGATAAATGGATATGATCTCACAGCCATTATGTAGGCATGGTTATAAGGAGAGCAAAACTGGGAACTTAATATCCAGGGATATTTGACATTTTTGAAAGACAAGAGGATGGAAATTTGGTGGGGTAACACTGTTACTAAGGGATGAAATACGAAAGTTGTGAGAGATCATCTAGGCTTGGATGATGGAGAGTTCATTTGTGCGGAGGCAAAAACCCACATGAGGAAGAGTTAGTGTATAGACTTCCAAACAGTTGCCACGCTGTTGAAAAAGTTATAAATCAACAAAAAAAAGGGACGATGTAAAAAAAGAGCAATAACTATGGGTGAATTTAATCCTCATGGATTGGTGCAATAGCTCAGTGTTGCCTTGCACTGCCAGGGAACGAAGTTTGATTCCAGCCTTGGGTGACTGTCTGTGTGGAATTTGTAATGTTCTCCCCATGTTTGCATGGGCTTGTGCCAGGTGCCCGGGTTTGCTCCCAGAATCCAAAGACCCAAAGATTAGTCTATTGTTTGAAAAATGTTGAAATTGATTATTAAGGAAGTAATAGCAGCACATTTAGAAAGTCTTAATATAATCAAGTAGAATCAGCACTGCTTCATGAAAGGGAATTCATGCCTCACTAATTTATTAGCTTTTTGAGGAAATCTCAACCAGAGTGGATAGAGGGGGATCAACAGATTTGTTGAAATTAGACTTCCAGAAGGTGTTTTACAAGGTACCTGACACGTTTAAATCATAAGATAAAAGCTCAATGCATTGGAGGTAGCATTTTGGCATGGATTGAGAATTGGCTAATGGGCAGGAAACGGCGTGTGGGAATAAGGGGTTCTTTTTCAAGTTGATGACCCATGACCAGTAGGGTTAGAACAAGGGTCATGCTGGGAATGCAACTGTTTACAATATGTATTAATAACTGAGGAAGGAAACAAGTGTACTGTAGCTAAATTTGCAAATGATATAAAAATAAATGGAAAGGCAAGTTGCAAGAGGGATACAAACAGTTTAACAGAGAGATATTGACAAGAGGGCAAAAAGTTGGCAATTGGAGTCAACTTGAAAAAAAATGTGAAATTGTTCAATTTGGATGGGATAACAAAAGAACAGACTATTATTTAAATGGAGAAATAAACTTCACAAAGCTACAACGCAAAGGGACTTGTGCACGAAATACAGAAAACTAGCACACAGGTGCAGCAGGCAGTCAGGAACGCTAATGGAATGTTGACCCTTACTTCAAGGGTGTTGGAGTATAAGAGTAGGGAAGCCTTAATCTAACTGTACAAGGTGTTGGTGAGACCACATCTAGAGTACAGTGAGCAGTTTTGGTCCCCTTATTGAACAAAAGATATTATTTCATTGGAGACAGTTTCAAAAAAAGTATGCCAGGTTGATCCCTGGTATGGAAGGGTTGTCTTATGAGCAAAGGCTAAATGGGTTGGGAGTTTAGAAGAATGCGAGATGATCTCATTGAAACATATAGGATTCTTAAGGGGCTTGACAGAGTAAATGCTGAGAGGATGTTTCCCGTCATGGGAGAAGTCTAGGACCAGAGGGCATATTCTCAGATTAAAGGGGTGGCAATTTAATACTGCGATGAGAACAAATTTCTTCTTTTCAGAGGGTTATGAGTCTTTGGAACTCTTTGCCACAGATAATTGTGGGGGACAGAGACCCTGTCACATTTAAGGCTGAGATAGATTCTTGATCAACAGGGGAATCAAGGGTTAAGGGGGAAAGTCATGAAAGTGGATGTGAGGAATGCCACATTAACCAGATCCTAATGAATGGCAGAGCAGGCTCAAGGGGCAAAAGAGCCTACTCCTGTTCCTATTTCTTATGGTGTTATAGCACTTCACAATCTATTTCACAACTTGGATGTGGGGACTAGCTGTAATACTTCCAAATTTTCTGATGGCACCTAACTGGGTGGGGCTGTCTGTTGTGATGAGGATGTAAGGAGGATTCAGACAGACTGTACAATTGTGCTAGATGGAATGTAATGTAAATAAATGTAGCATTATTTACTTTGGCAGAAAGAAAGATAAAGCAGAATATGTGCTAAATAGTGAGCGGTTAGGAATTGCGGATGTCCTTGTCCATGCCTGTGGGTACAGCAAACAATTAGAAAGGCAAACAGAATGTTTGCATTCATTTGAGCTGATTTGAGAGCAGTAGTAAAGGCATCTTGCTGCATTTGTATAGAAACTTGGTAAGTTCTCTCTTACTCTATTGTGTACAGCTTTGGTTTCCTTAACTAAGGAGGGATATAGTTTCCAATGAAGGCACATCAGATTAATCCTGGGAAGGTAGGATTGTTTTATGAGGAGTGATCGAAGAAACCAAGTTTTAATTTTCTAGAATCTAGAAAAGGAAGGGTGGCCTCATTGAAACTTAAAAAAATCTTACAGGGTCAACGTCAATAGGATGATTTCCCTGGCTTGTGACTCTAGATAAGGATAAGGAACAGGTCATTTCTTCAGAGGGTGGTGAATCTTCAGGAGGTTGTGGAAGATCAACAGTTGAGCAAGTTCAAGACAGAACTCGATAGGCTTCTGAAAACTAATGACTTTAAGCGACATGGAGATATGTGAGAAAATGACATTGAGGAGTTGCTTACCTACGATCTAGACTGGCAGGGCAGGGTTTATGGGCTGTACGGCCTATTCCTGTGTTCATCCAACCATTTAAACATTATTAGCCACACATATGGCAGATACTACAGATCACACTCTGGACCTATCAGCAATTTCATAAGCCATTGAGCTTGAGGAAAAGCATGTCATCCTCAATCCCACCTCATTTACTAATGTCCTGTAGGTAAGGAAACTACCATCCTTACCTGGCCTACATGTGACTCCAGACCCACAGCAATGTGGTTGATTCTTAACTGCCCTCTGGTCAGTTAGGGATGGTCAATAAATGCTGCCTAGCCAGCGACGCCCTCATCCTGTTAATGAATAAGGAAAAAAAAATCCCATGACTCTATCAAAGAAGGAAGAGAGGGTGGGTGAGTGTGGAGTGGAAGAGACAAGAGAGTGAATAATTGAATGGGGAGTGGACAGTGGTGGATAGTTGGATCAGATGTGTGGTTTGGAGTTTGCCTATCATTGATTACGCAGTTAATCACAGACCCACATTAGAAATTAAACAGTGGGAGAACAGTGGAGCAACTTTTAAGGGAAATCAAAATCAGAGAGAAGGAAGTTTATAGTTAAATAAAGGGAAAGCAAGTGGACAGGAGCAATGTTGGCCCAATAAAGTTTGAAAGTGGGATATTGTCAATGACTTTGAGAAATGGCAGACATGTTGAAAAATTAATGTGCCTCTGTATTAACAGTAGAGAAAGAGGATAACTTACCAGAACTCCCAAGGAAATTAATAATGGGAATAGGGAACAGGGACTTAATAAAATTAACATTAAGCAAAATATTGATGATAAGGAAATTATTAGAATTAAGGAGTTAGAAATCCCCAAGACCTGATGCTTTCTGTTCAAGAGTATTAGAGGAACTAAGGGACTACACTGTAGATGCCCTAACCATAATCTTTCAGACTTCCCTAAACATAGGATTATCACACTGGACTGGAAAATTGCACATGTCGCTCTGTTTTTTAAGAAGGGTGAAAGAGGAAAACCAGGGAATTACAGACCATTTAGCCTAACAAGTGTAATAAGGAAACTGTTGAAGTCTATAATCAAGGATGGGGTAAGTGAACATCTCAAAATTTCAGTTAATCAGGCACAGCCAGCATGGATTCATGGCAGGTAGGCCAAGCCTGACAAACTTTATTGAATTTTTGCAGAGGTAGTAAAGGAATATCTATGGATGTTGTTTGAATGGACTTCCAAAACACACTTGCTAAATTTCCACATAAGTTGATAGCATAAAATTGCAACAGGATATTGATAAACTAAGTAAATGGGCAAAACTATGGCAGACGGAGTTCAATGGAAGCAAATCTGAGGTTAGCTATTTTGTACTGAAAAAGGATGAGTCAGGGTACTTTCTAAATTGTATGAAATTAAATATGATGGATGTCCAAAGAGACTGGGGGTTCAGGTGCATAGATCTTTAAAGTGCCAGGAACATGTGCAGGAAATAATCAAGAAAGCTTTATATCTAGAGGACTGGAGTATAAGGATGCAGAAGTTTTGCTGCAGTTTTACACAACTCCGGTTAGACCCATATTGGAGTGCCGTGAGTAGATCAATACACCACACCTTAGGAAGGACATATTGAAGGAGTATAATGTAGGTTTACAAGAATGAAGTGTGGACTTCAGGCTTGAAGTTATGAGGATATATTATAGAAATGCTAGGCAG